ACATTAAGAGCTATACATTCCCCTTAATGAGTCTTGTTTTACAAACATACACAAACAGGCCCTGTGCTAGCCTCATGCAGTTTCTGCTTGGCAAATGGAGAATGTGGTTACCAATTTTATAGATGGCTTTTTTTCTCTTTGACTGTTTATTTTAGCTCTCTGGCCTGTCTCGGATTTCCCCAAAGCAAAGCCTTGTTTGCCTTGAGACCTCTCTGGTTCACAGTTCTACTCGAACCCACAGAATCTAGTTTTGGCTACTCTGTTTAGCAGTGTTGCTTCCTTAGGTGTTAATTAAGGAATCCCAAAAGTAATTTAGTTTGCTTGATTTTTATACTCTTTTTCCTCAAAGGAGTCACATGTCTTAAAAGCATGCCCAGTGCTTACTAATTTTTACCTAATTAATACTTTAGGAGAAGACTGCAGAGTGGTGCCAACTGAAAATTACCCCACATTCACTCCCTTATCAATCATTCACTTCAGCCTCCTGCATAATGTCCTTCAACAGGGTCAAAATGCCCCTGTCAGCCCATGCTCCACTCAGGATGTTCTACACATGATGTCTGCTTTCAGGTGGACATATTTGCTGACTCAAAGATCAGTACTGATCATACATGCAGCATGAAGCCAGTCAGTTTCACTTCTGTTTCCAGAATCCTCTTTGGCAGTTCAGTCATGTCAAGCCATGTTCTCACACCATTCATTCAGTATGGCCACACCAATTTGGCACCATCCCAACAGTCCCCCATTCAATATTCAATTACCAAATATAATTGTAATATCACATCAATCATACCCGCAATTTGTACATTAACTATTAAATCATGTGTCTTCTTTTTTGGTTTTTATAAAACTTAAAGCATTATCATATGATTTTTAGTAACATAATTTAACAATTCAATTTTATAAGTTTTTTGCAAAGCTTGTTTTTTTTATATTGCTTACACATTTGATATTCAAAACAGAAACATACAAGGAATAATGCTGCAGTTCCAGAAATTTAAAATAACGTTTCCCATTTAATTCCATTCCATGTTGTTGCTTGACATATAACATTATACCAAGTACACATTTGAGATTTTATTTGTTTCACCACTTTTTCAACAATTTTATATTTTTGAACAAGCATGCCTTTTACAGATATTATTAGTATAGTTGACCATTCTATTTAGTTTAGTGTGCTTTGATTAGGATTATTTTTATATCCCAATTTGTATTATTCCACTCTATTTCCCTTAAATTTGGTGATGTAAATCTAGGGTGAGTTATAAATGTTTGAGTTATTTGAGGGTGCCATTGATATTGTTTATATTGGAAATGAGTTATATTTTTATGAGTACATTATATTTATTGGTTTATAGGCCAGGTTATTTATTACTACATTACCCTTTTCCTTTTGATACCAACATACATTTTGATTTATTTTATATAGTTCTCACCAACCCTTTTTTAATTGTAAATTTATGGTGAGGTAATCCCCTTTTTAGTTCAAATTTTTATTTTCTTTTGTGATTAAGGTGCCCTGTTTTTATTGGGCTCCTATTATTTATTTTCATTTTACCATGGGTCTTTACCATAATCCTGTTTTATTTTTCAGGTGCTGGCATATATTACCTAGTACACTTTTTGTTTTTTTTTATTAGCTATACTGGAAAGGACATGGGTGCACTGGCGTATAGTACATGTATGCATTTGCACCTTCCAGGTATCTTGGAATGACTGATTAATATAAGAATAATAACTTCATATAGAATATCAGGGTTAGAAGGGACCTCAAGAGGTCATCTATTCCAACCCCTGGCTCAAAGCAGGACCAATCCCCAATTTTTACCCCTGCTCCCTAAATGGCCTCCTCAAGGATTGAACTCACAACCCTGGGTTTAGCAGGCCAATGCTCAAACCACTGAGCTATCCCTCCCCAGTTAAGTGTTTAGGGCCAAATTTTTTTTTGACTTTGTTCCAAGATTTTTTTTTTTACTGTTCTTCCAAGATTTCCTGGGGTTTTATACACAATTTTTTTTAGGACAATTTTGAGCGATTTTTAAAAAAATTGTTTAAACACTTTTAAAAACACTTTTTTCAATAGTTTACTTAATTTTATTACAGAACATCCTATTTTTTGGTTCATGATTTTTGTTTTGTTTTCCAGCATGTGCTGATTATATTAAGTTGTAAGTGAGTCTACATGAGTTTTGACTGTTTTGCATAAATACTGTGTGTGCCTTAGCTTTCCTGCATGTTGCACCAATGCGTAGGTGGTAGGAACAAGGCCGTGTGACTTGCTAAGACCGTTGGAGGCAGGTAAGGCTACTTCAGTGGCCTGTACATAAGCTATAGACGGTGTTCTTCGTAACCTAAAACCTAGGTGCGGGGTTGCGACCAGGTGACAGTTTGCCCAGGAAGTGAGGCAAAGACCAGGAGGAGGGGCAATGGACATGTTGGAGATCGGGTTGCTAGAAGCTGGGCAGTCTGTGGTTGGGAGAGAAGCGGGGAGTCCAAGATGGACTTGGCTAAAAGTTACCGATTCGCGTGCCAACAAGACAGTTTTACATTGTGTACCTGTTAATTAATAAACCCTCCATTTTACAATGTTGGCTGAGAGTTACAGCTGACTATGGAGTTGAAGCGCAGGGCTCTTTGGCTTCCCCAGGAGCCACGCCCAGGCCGACTCACTGCAGAGATGCCAAATGCACCAAGGTAAGACATAGGAAGACCAAAGACATTTAGGGTTTTTTTTGCCCCAGCAACAGGGTGAGGGGAGGCATGCCTCACCAGGGTTTTGACTGGCTTTTTAGAGAGCAGTTTTAGAGCATTAGCCTGATGACTCTGTGACAGACTGTTGATTATTCACTTTTTAGGGACTAAGATTACAGACATTTTAAATTTAGATATGTTGTGTATATATATATATATATATAAAATGTAACCAAATCAACAGAGGAACATCACAATGTTTCTAAACATATAAAATGGTTAATTCCAGATTGTAATCATAGTATACAGATATAATTCCAGATTGTAATCATAGTCTGGAATTAACCGTTTTATACGTTTAGGAACACTGTGATGTTCTTGTGTTGATTTGGTTATATTAACCCATGTTTATCCTCCCATCTATTACATATTGTCTCCATATGAGGTATGACATCTTAAAGCATATTTATGTTAGGGTACTTTTGTTTGGACACTTTAAATACAAAATTATTACCATACCCCAGTAAACATGTGTTCTGTGTGCACCAATTACATTTTTATTGACACATTTTTATATTTTCAGTGATGCTATACAATTTTACAGTTGATTCTATATTTATGACTGGAATTTTAGCTTTATTTTAAAACCAAGCCCCTTGAATTATATATTCTTGGGGTGCTTTTTTCGATGGTGTTGATGTGTCCGATGGGTTTCTTTATGTGGTGTATGTGGGTCCCACAATTCCCCAGTTTTGGTATTAATTGCTTGGGATACATCGGCACCCAATGCATATGCACCATTTGTTACACTTGAGGTCCCTAAACACCTTTTGTTAGTTGGATTATATTCCCTTTTAACTACTACATCATGTTTTTTTTGAAGTTTCTTACCACCCTTTTGTTAATATCTTGGATGTTAATCCCTGTACCAACACAGAAATACTTATTTGGTACACGAAAGGTCCACATTTTCTGAGTGTCTTTTATGGCCTCAAAGGGAATAACAGATTTTGTTACCATAGGGTGCCAGATTTTCCCCTCTTCCACATTCTTCCTTTTTATTATCTCCTTTACCGGGTTTAGCATCTTGATATTCCTTTATTGAGTTGTGGAGAGTTTTTATACTGGAAAATCTGTTACCTGGATATAATTTTTTTTAATTTACTTTGCTTTCTTTTAGCCTTTTTTCTCCCTTTGTTCCGAGTGAAATGAATGCCGCTAGAGTAAACATTATCAGGGAAACAACTCTAACATGACTTTTCTATAGGACTTTTTGCAGAGGCTGGCTTCAAGTTGTTGCCCACAGTAAGGTTTACTCTGGCTAAGACTTTGATTAATTTTTCACCGTTATTTATCCCAATACTGGAATTTAGACTTTCCAAAAGCTCTTTTAAAACTTTCCCCTCCTTAGAGAATTAAGCCTGGAGGCTGTTTTCAGAGTTTGAGATTTTTCTATACTGATAGTATATTAAAAGCAGGAAGACTACTACACAACCAGTGAGGGCACTGGGTGATTAAGGTTTTCTTAGTGCCTTGGAACACCCAAGAAGAATAAAACCAATATAGAAGAACTAAAGAAATTTGCATTTATTTTTACAGTTAAGAAATTGTAGTAAAGATTAGTTTACTAGCATTTTTGAGAGGATTAACAAGAATATAGACAAGGTGATTTAGTGAATATAGTGTACTCAGATTTTCAGAAAGTATTTGAACCCTTACTGAAGGTTTTTAGGCAAGGTGAGCTGTTATAGGATAAGAGAGAAAGTTCTTTAGGGAACAATAACTGGTTAAAAGATAAGAGACAAAAGGCAAAAATAACTGGTTAGTTTTTAGAATGGAGAGAGGTAAACAGTGGTGTTTCCAGGAGTCTGTACTGGGAAAAGGCAGTACTGTTAAATGCTCTGTATATTAAAAAAAGAAGCAAACAATGAAATTGCAAACATTTGCAGATCATACAAAACTTTAAGATACTCAAGTCCAAAACAGACTTTAAAGAGTTGCAAAGGTCACAAAACTGGGTAACTAGCCAGATGAAATCCAATACTGACAAATGCAAAGTAATGCACGTTGGAAAAACATAATTCCAACTATACATATAAAAGAATGTGGTCTAAATTAGCTGCTGCCACCCCCCCAAAAAAGAGGTTCTAGAATTACTGTGTATAGATCCATAAAAACATTCACTTAATGTACAAGAGCCATAACTGAAAGAAAAAAAAAGCACAGAAAATAAAGCAACAAAAATAATCAGGGGTCTGGAACAACTTTATCTAAGAAAAGATTAACAAGACTGGGACTTTCCAACTTGGAAAAGAGATAACTAAAGGGAGAATACAACAGAAGTCTATGAAATCCTGACTGTTGTTGACAAAGTAAGTAAGAAAGTGTTATTTACTTCTTTTTTTTTTAAACACACAAGAACTAGGGTTACCAATAAGATTGCTAAGCAGCAGGTTTAAAATGAACAAGAAGAAATAAAAACAGGAAAATTAACCTGTGGAACTTCTCGTCAGAAAGTGTTATAAAGTCCAATATTAGCGTTATAAAGGCCAAGGCATTTTTTGTTGTAAAAGAAAGAGATAAATGTATAGAGGCTATTAGCCAAGATGGGCAGGAGTGGTGGCCCTGGCCTCTGTTTGCCAGAAGCTGGGAACGGGCTGCAATGATCGTTGCCTGTTCTGTTTTTCTCTCAAACACCTGGCATTGCTTCTTGTTAAAAGGCAGGATGCTGGATTAGATAGACCTTTAGCTTGACCCAGATGTTTTTATGCTTGTGCCCCTAAGAAGGGTGCTCATTGTATTGCAATTTGAGTAGCTTAACAATTTTCTGGCTTATTTTTCAGATGGAATCCTGTGGTACAGACAGGTCTAATAATTACATCACCAACAAGCCATCACAAATTTCACAGCATACTTCTTGATTAACCTGCAAAAACATAAGCAAACAAAACACACAAGGCCTCTGACTGGGCCTTATAGGTTAGTACCTACTGTGCATTTATTTCTGAAAATTGTTTTATCTAGTCCCTTGGCAAGTATAATTGGATTTGATCAGAATGTCTGTATACATCTTCATCCGGAGTGGTTACTAAAACTGCTACAGGACTGGCCATGTTGTTTCCTTTATATAGGGTTTATATTACTTTTGTTTACCAATTCTTAAGCTTGACCGTGTTTTCTATTTTTATTGATATTTTAATTATTCCTTTGGCTCTTCCTTTTGTTTGTGTTGATTTTTCTGTCCAAATGTTTTCCAATGTTTGCATTAAATTTGCTACTCAGATCATCTTCTGTACCTGCTCAGGCATTTGTTTTTTTGGTGTTAACAGGAACTCAGGAGTTCTTATAATTTAGCCAGTTATTAATTCAAAGCGGTTAATAACATAACAAAGAAACAATTAACAACTAACAAATTTAGTACAGAGAACCATTTAGCCCTGACCACTGCTCTGGTCATTACAGTTAGAAGGCTGGCTATAACAGGGGTAGATTTACAATTATATTTGATAGTATAATCATGAGATGTCATCTGCCATCCGGTTGCTGTACAAACGAGATTGGGGAGTTAAAGTGTCAAAGCCCCTGCACTACTACCCCTTGTGCTTTTAGATCCTGCAACAGTTTTTTTATGTGGGGAACAGCTTCTGCTGGATAGGAATGCTGAGGAGCTGGCGTTAAACCTTTTTTTCCCCCCATTATCTTTACCACTGTGTTTTCTTTCTAGCCCAAACAATGAGAAATTCCCTTATCCACTTATTGTCTGGCAGTGCCACAGCTGCCATAGCTTTACAGGCTTACTTTCTTCGTCCTTCTGAAATAACCTGGTCATTTACAGTCTCTCTCTTCACAACGAGCCTTTCTGCCAAATTAATAACTCACTTTTCCTGTGGTATCATATCTACTTTTAGTATAGCTTTTTCAGTTATGCTGTTACAAACCACTGTAGTTATTTAAAATTAGTTTGATCTACTACCCACGGCAGGTGTTTTAATACTTAAAGTTGCCTTCGCTCCTGTATTAATTGATGCCAGTAACCATTATATGTTTCCTTCTGTCTACTCGTCCACGTAAGATTTACCAATTATGTGGGGCTGTAATTTGGCTACTGTCAAGGTTCCTTCCCCACTCTGAACTCTAGGGTACAGATGTGGGGACCTGCATGAAAAACCCCCTAAGATTATTTTTACCAGCTTAGGTTAAAACTTCCCCAAGGTACAAACTATTTTATCTTTTGTCCCTGGACTTTACTGTTGCCACCACCAAGCATCTAACAAATATAACCCGGAAAGAGCCCACTTGGAAACATCTTTCCCCCCAGAATCCCCCCAAGCCCTACACCCCCTTTCTTGGGGAAGGTTTGAAAAAATCCTCACCAATTTGCATAGGTGAACACAGACCCAAACCCTTGGATCTTAAGAACAATGAAAAAGAAATCAGGTTCTTAAAAGAAGAATTTTAATAGAAGAGAAAGTAAAAGAATTACCTCTGTAAAATCAGGATGGTAAATACCTTACAGGGTAATCAGATTCAAAACATAGAGAATCCCTCTAGGCAAAACCTTAAGTTACAAAAAGACACAAAAACAGGAACATACATTCCATTCAGCACAGCTTATTTTATCAGCCATTTAAACAAAACAGAATCTAACGCATATCTAACTAGATTGCTTATTAACCCTTTACAGGAGTTCTGACCTGCATTCCTCCTCTGGTCCCGGCAAAAGACAACACAGACAGAGAGAGAGAACCCTTTGTTCCCCTCCCCCAAGCTTTGAAAGTATCTTGTCTCCACATTGGTCATTTTGGTCAGGTGCCAGCGAGGTTGTCTTAGCTTCTTAACCCTTTACAGATGAAAGAGTCTTTCCTTTGGCCAGGAGGATTTAAAAGTGTTTATCCTTCCCTTTATTTTTATGACAAATACTAACATTTACCTTTGGGGCAGGGGTTGCTAAGGGCGAGGCATTTTTACTGAAATGTGGAGCCACCCTGACAGGGAGCTGCCAATTTCATCTGAGCCAATTCGGGGATAACAAGCCATAAGAACTCAATGGCAGATCTTCTGTACCTGTTCCCATGGTCTCAACAACCTTAACTCCTGATTGCAGCGTTGACTGTGATCTAGTCCTTGCCATCAAATCACTTAAAGCACCTAGCAAAGTCTCCAGAAGTTGCCCATCCAAACGATCCATATCTGCCCCTCTTTCCTGAAGTTGAGCCCATACCTGTACTTGCAGTGATCCCCCACTAAACACTCCACATCTCCTACCATGCTGTCCTTGGCCTTGTCCTATTTCATTGCAACTACCATGTCCCACATCAGTGTGGTTGCCAGGCATTATAGCCTGCTTGATTGCTGTAGGAAGCCTTACTAATCACTTTCCAAGAAGAACTACCTGCTCCACTTACTACTCTTTCTACCTCCTGAGCTGCTTTAATCAATTCAACCTGATCTAAATCCATCCTATGAACACCTTAATAGGTTTCCTTAAACCATCATAGATCAAATCTGTCAGCTGTTTTTCCTCGATTTCAGTCAGAGAGCATACCAACAACAACCTAGTACAATAAGCCATAACAGATTCTCCTTCCTTATGATGTATCAACAAAGCTGTCCTTCTCGATTCAGAGAGGGTCTGAAAGTATCAGGCAACCCTCTGGATAACACCGTCTCTGTCACCTGTTCAACTCTGCCTCAATTTCTGCCAACAAAGCCATTCCTTCCGTAGGGCCAGCACAAGTTATTATCAGTTCTCTTAACTCTTTGAGATCTAAATGTTTTCTAACCATGTATTCCAACAGCCAAGACAAACACATTCTCTTAGTCAAAGAGACCATTTGTTTAGCCAGTGCCTCTTTTTCAGTTTCAGTCAGAGGATGATTTACTTCCTCTTGTATTTGCGTGAAGGCTGAGACATTTTTACTGTCACTACTGGCAGGGCTGCTGGAGGCCCTGGAAGGGGCTCCTCTTCCTCTTCCACCTGTAAATTTATTCTTTCCGGACATATATGGGTTAAAGCTGTTATCTGCTGAGCCTTCGTTATATTTTGTGCTACAGCAGTTTGCAAGTCTCGTTTCAGGCTTTCATTCTGCAATTTTAGTTTTTCCAATTCCTATCCAAACTTTCTTGCACAACATCTTGCTGACGTTCCAAAACATCTCACTCTTTTACAAGCTTATCTACAGCACAATACATAGCACAGATGACATGTGCTGCTGTTTGGGCTTTCTTGGGAGTATAACCCTTTCAATACCCCAACAGCAAGTTGTCCAAAACTTTCTCATACAATATGGGGACTCTATCAGCCAGACATGGATCAGACCCCAAGCTTTTAAACACCTGTCTTAACAAACACTCATTAACCACACCCTGAGGCTTGGGGGTGTTCCCCTCGTCCTCCGGTTCAACAATCTTTCCCTATCTGCCTTTGTGAAACATCATCGACTCCAAGAACGGCCAATACAACCCCACTCACTGGTATACTTCCCTCTCTTTGTACTGTAACTAAATCTGGCCCCTGAGCTATAATTAATATAAGTCATATCTGGACAGCACTTTGAACTCTGATGCACTAGCCAGGTACAAAGGAAAAACCCTGGGAAATTTTGAATTTCATTTCCTGTTTGGTCAGCATGGTGAGCTCATGCTGCAATTGCAAACAAGCTCCAGCATGGACCAAATGGGGAGACACTGGATCTGATTGCTGTATGGGGAGAAGAATCTGTGCAGGCAGAACTCTGATCAAAAAGAAGAAATGCTAATATATATGCCAAAATCGCATAGGGCATGGTGGAGAGAGGCTACAACAGGGACACACAGCAGTGCTGCGTGAAAGTTAAGGAGCTCAGACAAGCCTACCAAAAGGCAAAGGAGGCAAATGGTCGCTCCAGGTCAGAGCCCCATACATGCCACTTCTATGATCAGCTGCATGGCATTCTAGGGGGATTCTACCACTACCCCACCACTGTCCGTGGACACGTGCAAGGGGGGAGTCTCACACAACAGGGAGGAGGATTTTGTGGATGAGGAAGAGGAGGAGGAGGAGAATGTGCAGCAGGTAAACGGTGAATCCGTTCTCCCCGGCAGCCAGGACCTTTTCATCACTCTGGAGCCAATACCTTCCCAAGGCGGGATCCCCGACCCTGAAGCCGGAGAAGGCACCTCTGGTGAGTGCACATTTGTAACTACAGTACAGGGTTTAAAAGCAATAGTGTTTAATGTTTGATTTGCCCTGAAGAATTGGGATGCATTCGCAGCCAGTACAGCTCCTGGAAAAGTCTGTTAACATGTCTGGGGATGGAGCGGGAATCCTCCAGGGGCATCTCCATGAAACCCTCCTGGAGGTACTCTGAAAGCCTTTACAGAAGGTTTCTGGGGAGGGCTGCCTTATTTCATCCTCCACGGTAGGACACTTTACCACGCCAAGCCAGTAGCAAGTAGTCTGGAATTACTGCAGCACAAAGCATGGCAGCGAATGCTCCTGGGTTCTGGTTGCATTCAAGCAACATTCGGTCGATATCTTTCTGTGTTAGCCTTAGGAGAGTGATATCATTCATGGTCACCTGGTTGAAATACGGGAATCTTTGTAAGGGAACAGTAAAAGGACCGACGTTCATGCTGGGCTGTTTGTGCTTGGTTAAAAGGGATCATCCCAGAGAATAGCCACGTGACAGGGGAAGGGGTGAAGGGATCATCCCAGAGAATAGCCACATGGTGGAGTGGGGGGAGGTGTGTGCTGCACATCCACCCGAAAACTGCAGCCCCTCCTTTTAAATGTGAAACCCAACTGGCATTGCTTGCTATGGGAAAGGAGGGTGCTGCAGTTTGAAAACATTCCCACATGTTATGAAGGTGTAAGAAGCCAACCCCGCTTATCCTTTGGCTTACCATGGCTGCCTGGAAACCGAATTCTGTCACCCAGCCATGTGTGATGTGTCACCATACTGGCAGGCACTCAATATAAAAGGCAAAATGTGACCTTGTACCTAAAGCACATGTGCTGTCTGCTGTGAATTGCTTGATTCACTGTGAAAGAATCTCCCCTTTGTTCTCAGAAATGTATCATCTTAAATTTTACTCTCCCTTTTTATCCCCCCACAGGTGCAAATGTTTCTATGCTCCCCCTATCATCTCAGTCCCTGAGGTTATCGCAGATTAGAAGGTGGAAAAAAAGCACTCACAATGACATGTTTTCCGAGCTCATGCAGTCCTCCCGCACTGCTAGGGAACAGCTTAATGCATGGAGGCATTCAGTGGCAGAGGTGAGCAGAGGCAGGAGACGATGCTGAGGCTAATGGGGGAGCAAACGGACATGATGAGGCGTCTGGTGGAGCTGCGGGAAAGCCAACAAGAGCACAGACCTGCACCGCATCCATTGTATAACCACCTGCCCTCCTCCCCAAGTTCCATATCCTCCTCACCCAGATGCCCAAAAATGCAGGGGAGGCTCCAGGCACCTAGCCACTCCACTCCAGAGGATGGCCCAAGCAACAGAAGGCTGTCATTCAAACAGTTTTGATTTGTAGTGTGGCTACAATAAGCAATGTGGCCTTGTCCTTCCCTCCTCCCCCACCCCACCCAGGCTACCTTGTCAGTTATCTCACTTTTAAAAAAATTAATAAAAAAAGAATGCATGGTTTCAAAACAATAGCTACTTTATTTCCTTTGCCAGCTGTGATCAAAGGTGGGAGAGTGGTTCAACAAAGTGGGAAGGTTTGCAGCAAGGAGAAACACACACAACTGTCACACCGTAGCCTGGCCAGTCATGAAACTGGTTTTCAAAGCCTCTCTGATGCGCAGCACGCCTTCTCATCACCCTGGTGTCTGGCTGCTCAAAATAAGCCACCAGGCGATTTGCCTCAACCTCCCACCCCACCATCAACGTCTTCCCCTTACTCTCACAGATATTATGGAGCACACAGCAAGCAGCAATAACAATGGGAATGTTGGTTGTGCTGAGGTCTAACCTGGTCAGCAAACAGCACCAGCGAGCTTTTAAACGTCCAAAGGCACATTCTACCACCATTCTGCACTTGCTCAGCCTATAAGAATTGAACTGCTCCTTACCACTGTCCAGGGTGCCTGTGTACGGCTTCATGAGCCATGGGAGCAAGGGGTAGGCTGGGTCCCCAAGGATAACTATTGGCATTTCAACATCCCCAATGGTAATTTTCTGTTCTGGGAAGTAAGTCACTTCTTGCAGCTGCCTGAACAGCCCAGAGTTCCTAAAGATGTGAGCGTCATGCACCTTTCCCAGCCATCCCATGTTGATGTCGGTGAAACATCTCTTGTGATCCACCAGTGCTTGCAGCACCATTGAGAAGTACCCCTTGCAGTTTACGTACTGGTTGGCAAGGCGGTCCGGTGCCAAGTTAGGGATATGCGTTCCGTGTATCGCCCCACTACAGTTAGGGAACCCCATTGCAGCAAAGCCATCCATTACGACCTGCAGATTTCCCAGAGTCACTACCCTTGATAACAGAACATCAGTGATTGCATTGGCTACTTGGATCACAGCAGCCCCCACAGTAGATTTGCCCACTCCAAATTGATTCCTGGCTGACCGGCAGCAGCCAGGCATTGCAAGCTTCCACAGGGCTATTGCTACTTGCTTCTCAACTGTCAGAGCAGCTCTCATCTTGGTATTCCTGTGCTTCATGGCGGGGGAAAGCAACTTACAAAGTTCCATGAAAGTGGTCTTACACACGCGAAAGTTTCGCAGCCACTGTGAATCATTCCATACCTGCAACACTATGCGGTCCCACCAGTCTGTGCTTGTTTGCTGGGCCCAGCATCGGCGTTCCACTGTATCAACCAGCCCCACTGCCACCATGATGTCCCAATTGCCATAGCCTGTGCTTTCAGGAACGTCTGTGTCCATGTCCTCCTCACAATTGTTGTTGTGCTGGCGTCTCTTAGCCAGGTTCATACTGCAAGCTAATGTGCGAGGTGTTTACAATGCTCACAACAGCAGCGGGTTCCATGCTTGCCGTGCTATGGCGTCTGCAAGGGTAACCCAGGAAAAAAGGCACGAAAAGATTGTCCGCCATTGCTTTCACAGAGGGAGGGAGGGGAGACTGACGACATGTACCCAAAACCACCAGCAACAATGTTTTTGCCTCATCAGGCATTGGGAGCTTAACCCAGAATTCCAATGGGCAGCGGAGACTGTGGGAACTGTGGGATAGCTACCCACAGTGCACCGCTCTGTGAGTCGATGCTAGCCACGGTATTGAGGACGCACTCCACTGACTTAATGAGCTTAGTGGGGACATATACAATCGACTGTATAAAATTGATTTCTAAAGATCTACTTCTATAAAATTGACCTAATTTCGAAGTGTAGACATATTAGACAAGACAGTAAACTGTCCTCTGCTATCAAATGTTGACACCAGGGGGCGCTACAACCCCTGAAATGGATCTTTGCCGGCTCCCGATGGAGTAGATTACTGTCATACCAGTGAAAAAGGTCCACAGTAATTATCTTCAATTCACAGCAGTTTATTGAGAAGGAATTACACAAGCGTAAAGGGTTATATCAAGCACATAACTCTTATGTTAGACATTAAGAGCTATACATTCCCCTTAACAAGTCTTTCTTTCACAGACATACACAAACAGGCCCTGCACTAGCCTCACGCAGTTTCTGCTTGGCAAACAGAGAAGGTGGTTACCAGTTTTATAGACAGCTTCTTCTCTGTCTGTTCTTCTCAGCCCTCTGGTATGTCTTGGATTTGCCCAAAGCAAGGCCTCGGTTGCCTGGAGACCCCTCTGGTTCACAGTCCTACTTGAACCCACGGAGCAGAGTTTTGGCTACTCTGTTTAGCAGTCTTGCTTCTTTAAACGTTAATTAAGGAATCCCAAGAGTAATTTAATTTGCTTGATTTTTATACTCTTTTTCCTCAAAGGAGTCACGTCTTAAAAGCATGCCCAGTGGGTATGTGGTTACTAATTTTTACCTAATTAATACTTTAGGAGGAAACTGCAGAGTGGTACCAACTGAAAATCACCCCACATTCACTCCTTTATCAATCATTCACTTCAACCCCCTGCGTCATGTCCTTCAACAGGGTCAATATGTCCCGGTCAGCTTATGCTCTACTCAAGATGTTCTACACGTGTTGTTTGCTTTCAAGTGGACATATTTGCTGACTCAAAGATCAGTATTAATCATACACACAGCATGGAGCCAGTCAGTTTCACCTCTGGCATCTGTCTGATGCTAAGAGAAAGATTCTGCTCCCAGAATACTCTTTCGCAGTTCAGTCATGTCAAGCCATGTTCTCACACCATTCATTCAGTATGGCCACAAAAATTTGGCACCATCCCAACACGGGGCTGTGGATAAGATGTGCCAGGATGAACAAATGAGGGGAAAAGAGAAGCCAGAACCTCAATAAGAGGTTCTGAAGGAACTGGAAGAGGGGCTGCAGTCTGGTGCACTCTACGTAGGCGTGCACTAGAGTCTTCCTCTTGCAGCAGAAGGGACAGGTGTCAGTGGATTCTGTGAACAGTGCCAGGTACATGCTTGTGCATGGAGGAGCTGCCAACTGCTATCCCTGGTGGGCGGTGGACCCAAAGTGGAATGCAGACTGTACATCAGTAAAATCCTAGTGTGGACAGGGCAAGATCAGTTTGAGTAGCTACATCCAGCTAAAACTACAATTAGTCTTTTCTAGTCTAGGGGCTTGGTTACACTTGCGAGTTAGAGTGCATTAAAGCAGCCCCAGGCGCCCTAGCTCACTACCCGTCCACACTGGCAAGGCACACAGAGCGCTCTGACTCCATGGCTAGAGCGCTCCTGGTACTCCACCTTGGCGAGAAGATTAATGCTTGTTGCGCCTTGGCTGAAACACCCGGGCATTAGTGTGAATGAGGTGTTGCATTACTGTGCTCTGATCAGCCTCCGGAAATGTCCCATAATCCCCTTAAGTCAAGTGGCCACTCTTCTCATTGTTTTGGAATCGCTGCAGGAACGCAGATATGCCCTTTGAAAGCTCTGTTTCTGACAGGCGGCTGCTTATCAGCTCCAAGACAAAACAACCATTAATGTAGAATCCTGTGTGTGAGAGAGAGAGAGAGGGGCAGGGGGGAGGAGGGGTCTGCTGCTGTCTGAACTTAAAAGACAGCATGCTGACATGCTCTCAGCCCCCCCAAAAACCCAGTCTCTCTCCCCCCACATACACACAACACACTCCCTGTCACACTCCACCCCCCCCCCCATTTGAAAAGCACGTTGCAGTCATTTGCATGCTAGGATAGCTGCCCACAATGCACTTCTCTCTGTGGCCCTTGCAAGAGCTGCTAATGTGGCCACGCAAGTGCGCTGTCAGGGTGGACAGATTGCAGCGCTTTCCCTACTGTGCTCTACCAAGGCTGGTTTAACTCAAAGCGCTCTACATCTGCAAGTGTAGCCATGCCCTTGGATTTTTCAACATGGTAGTGTACATTGTGAGAAAACACCTATTTTTTAGGGTAGCATCAGAGTACCTCAAATTCTATATCGCACTGATCCTCCCAGCATCCCCATGAGGGGGGTACCATTATACCAATGTACAGAGAAGGCACAGAGACACCAAGCCACTCACCCAAGGGCATTAAGTGAATTTGTGACAGAACAGAGAGTTGAACGGAGGTCTCCTGGTCCTACACTAATGCCTTCACCACTGGAATGTCCTTCTTATCCACCCTTAGGCTTGTCAGAACAGCACCAAGGGCTGCACCCCTTGCTGCAGGCGCCCTGGGGCAGCATTGTTCCCTACCATCGCACCGGTGCTTTCCGGCGATAATGGCGGTGTTCTCGTCTGCCCAGCAAGGTATCAGGTCTCTGCAGCAATAACAGTGTCTTACCCTTCCCCCCATCTCGCGGGGCACCGTGTCCCCTCCCCCATCCCGCGGGGTACCGTGTCCCCTCCCCCATTCCGCGGGGTACCGAGTCCCCACCCCCATCCCGCGGGGTACCGGTGTCTCCCCTCACTCTGGACAAGGGTCACGAATGAAATCCAGCAGTTGAGCGGCTGCACTTCCGCATAGTAACGGAACGCGGTTGTTAGGGAGTGTCCGGCGGCGCGGTGCCCCGGAAGTGGTTGTGTGGCGGCCGAGCCACCGCGCTCGGGTTTCTCCCATAGGGCGCCACTCGCTCAGGGGCGTGTCCTCCGGGGGTTGTTTCCGGTTCGGCCCCTCCCCTTAGTGAGAGCAAAGGGGAAGCGGCCGGGCGCCGAAGGCGGAGCCGCCGGCGGGGGCGCAGGGAGAGCAGCGCCCGGGGCCCCAGCCCGCCGGGCCGGGGAGGAGCGGAGCAGCTGCCGGCGCTAGGTACTCCAGGCGTAGCGGGGTCGGACCCTCAGTGGGGGGTTGTGGCTGGGGAGCGGGACCGGTGGCTCCGGGGGGTCTGGCTGTTTGTCCGTCCCTCTATCCACCCAGTGAGGCCGGGCTCGGCTGCAGGCTGCTCCTAGGGCCTTGGGGCGGTCGGGCGCTCCCCGGTCTGTCGGGCAGAGGTTTTCGGCAGGGCGAGTGGAGGGGGGCCCTTCCCCATGCGGGTGGGGTCCCGGGGTGGCACTTCCCGTCGTTGTGGCTGGGGGGCTTTTTCCACCGAGTGCGCCCGAGCTCCGGTTAATCGGGCACATTTGTCTTCGGGGACGGCTGCAGGAGCAGCAGGCTTTTATGGGCTGCCTTGTAACACGTACCTGACCTTCCTCCTCCGCATCCTTAAGCTGCTCGTACCCTGGGGCTCCCAAATTTCCGTGGGCCAGACGTGTTTGGAAGCTGGGGGGCTCTGCTTGTACGTGGAGGTCTGGAGCTCTACCTTGTTGGGCAGGCATGTGGGCTTCCTATACCATGGAGACGACAAAGTCTCTTGTAAGCCTTGTTGATACAGCTGCTTCTGGACAAAGTGCCTGGGCTAACAATGAGGTGGGAGTACTGGTGTATGATTGTTAGTTAATGCACCAGGAGCAGGCTGCCTAGATCTGCTCAGATCATTGTAAAAATGACAGTTGTAAAAATGATGGTGTGATGTTTTCATGAGTTGTCATACCATCGCTAGCTTCACCAACCGTGGGAATATTCAGAAGTTCCATGTTGATGTAGCTGTGGTGGTTGGCAGATCCTGGGTATGCTTCATTTGGCCAGTCTTGGCAGTCTGTTGTGAGTAGGTCTTAAAATTGCTGGGTTATTAGCCTTCATTTTTAGGCTACTACAGGTTAAATTACTTTAACATAAATTCAACTGCAAGATGGCTTCTTTGAAGAAGCCTCATAAACAGACTTAGGAGTCCAAATGGTTCCCCACTAATGAGTATTCAGAACTGGGAAACAAGTTACTTCTCTTGGTAGTTGAGCTATTCTCTCTCCTGCAGACTTTCTCAATGGATTGTTTGTTCCTTCTTTAATCCTGGATAGTTGAGTACATAATTTGCAGTGATCCTTTATTACTTACTTAGAGGCTGCAAATTAAATTAGGGACCCATTGTATTATACTGTGTACAGATGCAAAGACAGTCTTTGCACTGAAGAGCCTATGGTCTAAATAGACAAGATGACAAAGGGTGGGATCAGAAAGAAAAACAGTGATTTGCCCAAGGTTACACAGTAGATGAGAATCAGGAGTAGAACCTGGCTGCCTGGACACCCAGTCCAGCTGCTCTGTCCACAAGACCACAGTCTCCTGAATTAAAAGGTTTGTCAAAAGGCATCTTTACCTGTTGGAGATTTACCATCTCACTAAGAGGAGTTTACATGATGTGGTGGGTTTTGTATTAGATATGTTGATCTTATGATTTTAATACTAGAAGTGTGTGTGACACATGTGGCACTATACAAGTGGAATGCCTGAAATTATTGCAAAAGATGCTACAGTTAAAAACAGTGACATGCGCATCAGATGGTATTTGTTGATTTAGCATGGATCTGAATAAAAAATTAATATTTAAGATTAGAAGAGTAAAAACTGTTCTTAATACTTGTGTGAATGAGATAAGAGTGCTTGGTTTGAAAGCTTAACTCTGATTCAAATATAGGCTTAAAATTTACCCCCACTTTAGTAACACAACTTTATTTCTAACCTTTTATTAGAATGTAATATAGGAAATCAGTTCATTGTAGTATATTTTAGTCCAAGAGATAGTAAAGTGTTTGTATCAAGTGCAGCTCTAATTACTAGAGAGAGAGAGGGTGCGTGAGTATATTTTATTAGACCACCTTTTGTTGGTGAGAAAGACAAGCTTTTGAGCTTGCACAAAGCTCTTCAGGGACCAACATGGCTACAACATCACTGCATATGTCTTATTACTGGCAGACAAAATTATATTCATGCGGTTGTACATTTTGATGCAGTGTCAAAGCTTTGGGTTGTCCTGGTATTAAATTTTCCTGTAGCATTTTGACTTTATTTAAAATGTATTACATTGATAAAATGAAAACCAAATAACGCTGTCCTGGAGAGAGACAGACCACCTTTTTTTATCTGAGGGGAACTTGCTCCATAGCTCTTAGAAGAGGGGAGTCTAGTTTAAGAAAGTTGAATATAAGGAAGCAATAGGATGAAATGCTTTTAAGCATACATTAACAGCTTGTAAAATTTGCCACCTTTGCCACTCTTCAGACCACATAAGAGTGGCCTTGCCTTAGAGACTCCCTTAGAGTCTATTTGTAAATTACTGTTTGTCATAGCCTGGATCTCAGACTTGATTTTTATCACAGTATGTCTTAATCATCGTGTGTGATCACCACATGTGCAGTCTTCCTTACTCCTACAGCCCCTTCAACATTTGTCCCTTCCTCTTTGGTAAATTAGATATTTACCATGATTTTCAGTCACAAGCAAACAGAATCTACCCATTGTGCATTTACTTCTGTTTAGTTGCCATATTTTCAGTACATTATTGATAAGATATTTGCCAAGCTGAAGTAAAGGATGCAGCTAATGATTTTAGGAAAAGAGTAAACTGTATGTACACATTCTGAAACCATTATAAAAGGTTAGAAGCCCTTTCCCACAGGAAGCATGATAACATAGCCAAAAGATTCTTTGTGTTTCTTAAGGTAAGCTAACTTTCTATGGGTTGTAAGCCAACAAAAGCCATAGAGAAAACCTTGCTTTTGACTAGTTGCATCAGTAGCTAAAGCTTTGCCTATACTAGGAAGTCTTAGCACAAATTTCCAATGTTGATGCTTTCAGGTCAGGTGGTGGTAGTAATGATGTGTATCTATAACATCCTTGGCCATTTGGAGCCCTGCCTGTGTCAGAGCTGAACTGAAGGTTCACAGGGGAAATATTAGTGAAAAGTCCTTGTGTAGGAAAAATAGCCACGGAAGAGTTTAAACTTGTATACCATTCAAGGGACACAGATTTTCAAGACTATTTTAATAAAACAGATAAAGAATTATATTTTAAATTCAAATTTGTAAAGCTAAGCTTGGAAAATAGCTATGTATAGCTAATGGCTGTATCCACACTAGTTTTTTGTCAAACATTTTCCAGTCCCACTTACACAGTGTGGCTTCTCTGGTGCTAGCAACAGTGGCTAGTTTAGCGTGGAGAAGTATCGTCTGATTGCTGGAGTTAACATGACATCTAATCCCACTCAGAACTTGTCTAAATAACAGTGTTAGAAATGCTGCATGGAAACCTTGGGTATGCCAGCACTGCTAATGTTTCTACCACTGGTGAAACTAAATCAGTAAATCATTGAATCCTTCAAGATGAAAGATGTTATATGGCTGTCAAAAGACTATTCTTGTATCTCTCTAGCAAAAAGTTGATGAAGAAATGTAAATATATTGACCTTGTTCTCTCTGAACTTCAGCGAATAGTGGGTTCTAGATTCTGGCTTTATTTTTGTGTCAGGCTGGTGACTTATTCATCTGCTGGATGTAAACTGTCATATTTGGCATGTACACACAAGTCTGTTGCTGACTTGCTTTAGATTCCCCAGTATAGATTCCTCTGTCCCTCACTTTTGTAGTAGAAGAGATGCTTTTTAACAGAGCTTACATGCTTCTATAAATTATGTACACCTGTTTTATCAGCCGACTTCCATCCATTGTGAAGTACCAGGCTCCATGTACTTTAAGAAACTGCTGTGCCATCATTGAAAGGTTTACAGATTGAATCCCACATGATACCAGAGTCTGTTCAAGTCTGAAACAGGAAAAATGTTGGCCCTGTGGAGGTCTCAGATGGCATATGTGCTATGCTCTCCCACCAAAGTGTTTTTTAAAGAATGGGCAAAATTATTTTTCTTAAAATGTATGGGTTAAAGAACTATCAAAGTTATTTCAGCTGCAGCAGTCAAAGATGAAGTATGACCTCCTAAACAGTGTAATTCAGGACTGTTCCCTTTTTTTGTGGAAGGACTCACAGTTACAGCTGAAAGGTGGTGATTAGCTTGCTTGTTTCTTTAATTCTTTTCATTCAGTTATCTGACCATTATAGGAACATAGGAATTGTCATATGGGATCCTGTAGTTGTGGAGTAACCAGTCTTCCATTTTATGTCTCCTAATTTTCTGTAGAGATTGGCTTAAATCATGAAGCATTAGGATTACTATGTTTTATAATAATTAATGCTAGTACATTTTATAGCTGTGGATATTTATATTGCTAACAAGACTATCCAGTCACTTTTTGAATTTTATTTAATTTTTGGCCACTGTGACATCATGTGGTAGTGAGTTCCATAATTTATTTTATTAAACTTTTTGCTATTGTTATAAGCATATGAATTATGTGTAAATTTAAATTATTATATTTGCTCATCTTATTAACATTAACCCAATTCACATTTTCACACAAATAAAATAAATCTCATCCATAACTATGACAATTGTTTTATGTAAGTTGCTACTAATTCAGTCTTATTTAACCTGCTAAGAATTAGGAAGGCCTTCTCTCTTCTCTAGAGAGAAACAGCATGAATACAATTTGGAAGGTGTAGTCTATAGTCTGCAGCACACACTGTCCCAATTTAAATAGTTATTCCACCTTCTCCTGAAGAAGCTACCTTATGATTATATCTATCTATTAGACCTTGTCCGGGTTCCTTCCCCGCTCTGAACTCTAGGGTACAGATGTGGGGACCTGCATGAAAGACTCCCTAAGCTTATTTTTACCAGCTTAGATTAAAAACTTTCCCAAGGTACAAACTTTGCCTTGACCTTGAACAGTATGCTGCCACCACCAAACGTTTTAAACAAAGAACAGGGAAAGAGACCACTTGCCACCCCACCAAGCCCTACACTCCCTTTCCTGGGGAAGGCTTGATAATAATCCTTACCAATTTGTACAGGTGAACACAGACCTAAACCCTTGGATCTT